TCGATCTCTATTTATTCATCAATTTTCACATTAAAATCTCGCTTGGCCGCTTTTTAAAAAGGTAAACAACGTAACTGTGGCTGAGGCTTAAATCCCACCAGTGCTCTCCATCTCTGCATAGAGACGTACCTGAGCCTATACTTCTTCAGGCCGAAGCTGATAAAAGGTGGCAATTTATCACAAATCCCTGAATCCCCCACTCTGCAGCGTGAGGAATATACATTGCCTGATTAACATAAATGACAGCAAATGCTCCGCGTCCTCGCAGTGAGGGCTGACAGCGCCGCAGCCCAGCGTGCGCAGAGGTACCCTGTGCTGTCGCCGTCACCCCGGGATAGGATCCAGCGTGGTTGGTGACACCCCAAAGCTCTGCCTGCAGTCCAACCTGGGCGAGGGGAGCGGGAAGCTGGGCTGCTCCCTCACCCCCAGCTCCACGTAAAGCCTATATAACGGCCTATAAAGTGCGATATGATCCCTGGGGGTTGGTGGGGTCCCACACCGCCCCGTGCCAGAGGGATGCTCTGAAGCATCCCTCCCAGGAGGCAGCTCCGAGGAGCCTGCTGCCCCCGGGGCATGGTCCGGCTCTCCCAGTGCCCGCGGGCTGGATCGGGACGGGATGGTTCCCTCGCCGCTGGGGCTGTCCACGGAGAGCCCTCCTGGGGGTCGCGGCACTGCCGGGAGAGGGAGGGCAGCGGGGGGGGACTTTCTGGCCCAAGCACGAGGGCGCATCGTCTCCAAGATACAGTGGCTTGGGGTAGCTTTTCCTAAACAAAGAGCATTAGAAGGGAGCCACTGCTGGAAATTTCCATTCCTTTGTTGGGTAGATGCTGTGTAAATAAATGCATTCCTAAGATTTTTCATAATCCTGGAAAGGTCTGTAAAAGAAACTGTATAGTTTGTCACATCGCTGGGGTTCATATATATTATTCCTTGGCTGCTGAGAACGCGACATACAATGGCACAGAATATAATGCAAGAAACATATGCTAAAAGTCTTCTCAGAAGCACTCTGTGCATTCGTATGTGGCATGTACAGATACTTCTCTGTTTTGCCCTGTGGGATCTAAAATACTCAACCCATACTACAGCTTAGGTTTGTGAATTGCTTAACTCTAAATAATCCTTACCTGACAGGTGACTTTGGCAGCAGCATTTAGCTGTTTCCTGGTTTAATGTGCAGGTGCTTTGAAAGCATTTATAAATTAGTACATGAGATAGATGTGTAAGCAACCTCTTACTTCACTCCTCTGCTTTTCTTTCTGTCTGAATTTTATTTTAAAACCAGATGATTCGGGAAGATCCTCTTACCATAATGATACTGTGTTTGATGTATTTACAAGTCAAATGGCTCAAAACCACATTTTTAATTCCTTGCTTTCTTGTCATATATAAACACTAACTACCTATAGAAGAGATTATATTCCTGTATCCAGTGTACTGGTAATGTAAATGCAGGAGTTACTTACATAGTAAAGACTATTGTACCTTCATTGATAGAAGTCAGAACTTTTTCTTGAAATAAGCTAGTAACTTCTCCCACTAACTCTACCCCCTCGGACTCAGTTTATCTGGATTTGTAAGATCACTTCCCTGTTTAACACGGTACAAATAATTCAGAAATTTAGAACAGAAACTGTCCTTTAGACTACCAGAACAATGTTTATTACCCTTCTTTTTCATTTTTGAACACACTCTGACATTCATCTTATATTCAGACTTTCCCAACAGCTACTCCTGCTTCATTTAGGGTGGATTTTTAAATTTTGAAAATCATATCCCCAAGCAATGCAATTCTACTGGAAAAATATTGAAATGATATGGAAATAATAGTTTTCTTTTTATTCACTTTTCATTTTTAGATCTCAAAATTCTAGACAAAAGAGAGCGCTTAATAAATAGTTGTATAAAATACAAAATGTACTTTTTCAGCATTTGTCTTCTAATTGTCCAAAATATAATGTTACCTTTATTCCCTAGATACGCTATTTTTCAGTCAGATTACAAATGTAAGAAAAAAACCCACCTTCACAACCAAAACAACCTAGAAGCCAAACCAAAACAACCACTCAGACAGGACTATCTCCATAAAGTAAGCCCAAATACTTTTGGCTAGCTGATTAGCTCTCTAATTTCCTTCTGTTTAGACACTGCCACGGCATTTCCAATTCCGCAGTGCTCATCTGAGATCCTCATTTTTCCTGACCTCAGTACTCACGTTTGGGGGCTACTATGTCACAGCATTTCAGCCTCCAGGATGAAGTAGCCTGGTTCAGCCTTCTCTCAAAGAAAGATTATTACGGCCATTGTAGCTCTCAAACTGGAATAGATTATAAAAGCTTATTACTGTATTTTAATATACAATATTGTTGACTAAGGGCATCAAATTTTAAACTCAATTAATAACAAACTATGATCCCAGAGACTGCAGACCAGTAACTTATCTGCCACACAAACAGCTGCACAAATCCCTCACATTTATTTTTTCCAGGCTTTCAACTTTGATTAATAACATGGCAAACCCACGCAAGTCTCAACCATACTAACCACAGCTATATTTTTAGTCTTACTGACATGAACACTTTAATACAATAAAAGGAAAAGGAAAACAGAAGAGGTGTTTCATTAGGACATGAGGATTACTAAAACCGCCGTGTGGAGTATTTGTCAGGAGGTGGTAGGGGAAGAGTTATTACTTACATTTTAGCATGTCGCTAGGGTGCGGAGCAAGAGAGGCTCCCTCAGAGAGATATGTTTGCTTTGGAAAAAAAATTAAGTAATCAGACCGTCCAGGCTCTTCTTAATGACACATTTATAACACCAAACTGCAAACTCAGTTGAGAAGTTTGCAGCACTACACGGAAAACTATATTTCCAATTTTGTTACGAAGCCCGGCAATACGGCACTGGCACAAGATCCAGAAGTTCACATCTGAACCTGCCAGTCCTTTTTTATTCATAGACGGTTACATGCAAAAATATATGAAGCATGCAACCTGGTTGGTTAAAAAAATAACCCAAACCACAAATCCTCAGCAAATCTGTTCTTGCAGCTGATTATAGAACCTTATAACCTATTTTAAAAGCATTTATTAAAAAAAAATAAAATCCCCCAAACCCAAACAAAACCCCCTGAATGGCTCATATAAGCAAGAAACCAGCATTATGTCAGTAAAATAACAGCTTCAAAACAAATCCAAAGAGTAATGCTTGCCTAATACAGAATTCTTCAATACTGAACACATTTGGCTTCATGATTGTGTGGTACTGGGACTGGAGGTAGATTTAGTCCGATCTCCTCATCGATTGTTCGTATGCCAGGGGTATTCCTTAGATGAGTTTCAGACACTAAATTCAGCTGAATGAATAGTATTATACATATCATAAACATAAACAATATTTGGCTGAGGATGTCATTTGACTTTTTGCTTTCTGCATCTGCCTGCCTACACATTTGCACCAGCAGTATGTTTACAGCGATGCCTTCTGTAGGAGAGCCAAGCTTTGTAAATCGGAATAAGGGGTAAAACCAGTCACACTTTTTCTATTTCTAAATTGTTTGCATGAAGACAGCTACATTTCAAAATCAAGGAAACAGAACAAAGAGGCATACAGCACCCTCATAGTGACCCTGAAATAACTGCTCAGGACAGCACCCACATATCGTCCGTCAGGAAACACCCAGGTAGCACAGAGGGGATGCGATAGCCTAGCAAAGGGAAGGACAGAGCAATAGCAAATATCTTGTCACCCTTCTACCCTGAGATGAAAGCATCATTCCTGCTTTTTTTTCCTGCTTTGACCTTTTGAGCATTTCTAAGGCGCAACATCTGCAGTATCAGAAGTGCAGGGGAACAGGGAAGGCACACACCCCCAATCCGTTTCTAATCACCAGAAAGCGAAGAAATGTACAGAAAACCTTAGTATGGCACCGGAGAAAGTGAGACCCTATGCACACGCCTATATATGAACTTCACTACCGAAGAGATTTGTCTTCCACTTGAATGCCACACCAGCACACGCAGACTGTTCCCGCTCATCCGCACTCCCTGTTCTGACACCGGGACTTCGCTTTTTAACTAGCCCGGGCTTGGCTGAAACTAAGATAAACATATTTAGCTGCAACTTTTTTTTTCTTTCAAAAAGAGGCAAACTGGATTACAGCAAATAACCTTTAAGATAATTAACTGACAATGCCGCAACTAGCATAAAATCTTCCTTCAGGCGACCCCTAATTTAAGTATTACTGGCACAAAGTGGAGACAGATTGTGCATCACCACCGCAATATTTACATAGCAGAAACCCACAGAGCAGGAAACGTGAGACTCAATGATGCACTAAATTAGGAACAATCATATTCTAGTGTTAATTTGCTTTCTCCTCTATCCAAATTCCAGGTCCAGCAATTGGTACAAACGCACATAAAACATTCCCATTTTTAATGATTAAGCACCACAATCTGCAAGCAGTTCTGCTCAAAAGTGAATTCACTCGCTACTAGGGATGTTTGCAGGATCAGCCCCCCGAAAGTGAAACAGGTTTACCAACACAGAGATTTTTTAGAAAACCAAGACTTCCTCATCTGTTCATTTCTTTCTATAAATGATGTCTGCGCAAGCAGTCTGAGTCGTCTGCCAGGCTACCTGCCTTTTGATTGCAAATATTGTCCTGTGACTGTAGCACTGTAATTCTGCGGCATAATGGAGAAGCGGTTTTAATTCACCAATGCTGTACATATATGCAGGTACTCCAAAGGCTATGTCCTCAAAGAATTAAAGTTAAAACAGGGAGGAGAAAAAGATAGCCAGTCTATTTGTAAATATATTGTGAAGTGACACATTTATAATAAATATAAACTCTATCCAGACACAGATTTCACGAGCGCCACTCTCAGTTACAGCACGCTTCATAAGATAAATGCAAAGACCCACCACCAATCTTTCTAAATCTTAAATATTATTCAAATTTGGTTTCCACTATGGCATATTAACAAAATATTTACCTTGCCTAATCGTTGATGCTCTTCAAAAGCAGAAATCAGTTCTTGTGCCCACTTTATTTTTTCAGGGCTCGGAGAGAACTGTTCCTGGACAACAGCAATTTGGTTGGGGTGAATCACCTGCTTACCTACAAAGAAGATTAATAACACCAGAATCATGCATCGACAAACAGATGTTCAAGCAAAATGTTCCAACCACTTGAGGCTCTCATATGCCTCGCAGACTTTCTTGCTCTTTAACTAATTATTTTACTTGGTTTCTTTTATTTTTTAAACTGGACAGCAGGCAGATAGCCTTTTGCCAGATTCTTTTAAGAATAAAAATATCCTGAGCCATGCTTGCGTTCAATATCGTTTGAAAGAACCCACGATTCTTCCTCCTCCCTCCCCATTTCAACCCACAGATCTTCTCTCAGTCATTTCAGGTGCAATTCGTTGTGCGGGGCAGTCAGTAGCGCTCCAGTATAATGCATCGCTGAATTTATAAATAACAGCTTCAGCCACATATAAATAAGCTATATTAAAATGTGTTCAGAAAATGAGATCTGAAGAAGGTGGCAAGAGATTTGTAGGACTGAAAAGTTACCAGTCACCTAAGGATCATGCCCTAAATTCTTGGTAGTGGCTTAGCATCATAAAATCCTCGGTGTTGTTTAAACTATTGTTGCAGTAGTTAGCAGTTGCACGTAGGTTGCAATATTTATTTAATCACTGGTATATTAAACGGCTACCAGCAGTGCCCTGAAGTTTTATGAAGCACTTTTTTTATCCTTTCATGTATAAACATACGTTAAGAAAATAAAAATAGATGTTGCCTTTTTTTACTAGAGATTTTCAAACGTGAACAGACAGCCACATAATCCGTTTTAATCTGTTATTGTGTTTCGCTACCTTAAAACAAACACATATCTAACTTGTCCGACAGTTTTTAAAGTGTAACATCTGACATAATGAGTTCTCTTCTCAGGGAATTCCACAGACCGGTGCGATTCCTGCACTTTGGTTTCAAAACTTTTCAATAAAGAGAGGCTACCAAAACTCCCTGCTTCCCGCAGAATAAATGACTGTCCTCCGGGCCAGATAACAAAACCAGTTCGGGGGACGAGCCCGATCCTGCAAACCTCCACCCAGTGAGCAGCCTCCCGCTGACAGAGGGTCCCACAGCCGCGCTGTCCCGCCGCGCGCCCCGGCCCCTCGCCCGAGAGTTTTGCACGCAAGGAGAAGTTGGAAGGGTCAGGACCTAAGGAGGTTTCCTGCGCACAAGGGGGGTCTGCTCCCGTGTCCGTGCTGACGTTGAGCCAGCCGTACGTTAGAAATCAGCCCCTCGCTTGGTCTAAGCTGTCTCACGCGTGGCCGCAGAGATGCGCCTATACTACGTGAAATGACCGCTGCAAAAAAAATGGCATTATTTCTGTCCGACTGCAGTGGGTCAGAGTGATAATCTGGAGCACAAACAAAATCTGGGGGTGCAGCAGCAGCACGACCTACTTAATTTAATGAGCAAAGAAATAGTAATTTTTTAGTGTTGCTACATTTCTTTGCTAAAAAGCCGTGAGTAGCTCAATTTTATTTTATTTCTTGTTCCTTTAGTTTATGATCTTAAGGGCATCCAAATACTCAGTTTGAAATTTCAATGTCAAAACTATTTTAAAAATAGCTTAAAAATAGGTAAAAGCTGAAAACTCAGTAAGAACTATATTTTTTGAAAGAAATTACATGGAGACAAATTTTCTTGACTAATGTGTTTCGCATCAGGTCTAATCAAAGTTTTTTTAGTCAATTTAATCAAGTGTCACCATTAATAAGATTATGATGCTTCTTAGTTGTAATAGAACAAATTCTCCCTAGCTAAACTAATAATTCTAAAATTGAAGAGTGTACAAATAATTCCTGCAAAATCCTAAGGAGCTTAACTTTCTGGGAAAAATGCAGAATATATTTAAAAATATATTTAAAGTCAGTCTACAACTATAATAAGAAAAAAATTCTACATGATTTTTTAAAGTGTAAAACATTTCTATAAAAAGATTTGCTTTTGATAAAGATATTCTGTAGCAGTGAGCTATACCTTTCATCATTAAAACACTACTGAACAATTTACAGAGAATATAGTCTCACTTTTGATTTATAGCACAAAGTTGATTTTTGTCACAGATTACGTATCCAAATAACTGTATAACAGACGTAATGCCATGCAGGAATGAAGCAAATATTTTAAGCGGAATTGTTGTTATTGACAAGTTACTGAGAGAGTGCAAAATTGGAAGACATTAAAATTTATGACCATGAAATCCTTTTTACAGTACCACTTGATATATCGTGCTTTAAATCAATACCTGTCAAGTCTTTTAGGTAACTGTATGATGGTGTCATTTTAGTCTTCTACAAAAGACTGTAAAAAGAGAGAAAACCTATAGTGGTTCGTATTTATATCTGGCTTCTCAGCATGCAGCACGGGACTTTCTATAATGACTAAGTCAGCTGTTAAAGCTTATGGCAAGGTTTATTTAATTTTTTACATAAACATTCCTAAAACTGATGACCGTTTATATAGGCAACACACTGACTTTGAGTCCACGGATTCTGGTATCGTAAACCATCTTGCCGGGGATGTGTGTGTGTGTGTGTGTGTATGTGTATATATATACACTGCCCCTCCCCTATTAAAATAACTCAAACCAAAAGCAAAAAAAAACCCCACATACAAAAGATGTATTAATTTGGCTAAATTACATTTGAAAACATTTGATTTTATGTAAACACACTCACTGAAGGTAAAACAGGCTGCTTATAAGATAACTGGAAGAGAAAACTTGGCTAGAATAAGCAAGGAGGGTCACAATAATAATGAAATAGCTAGTAAATTCTTCATTGTATTGTTTCACTTGCTTAATCTTGAGTGAACAATTTGATTACATTATTGATTACATATTTGATTACGGGTCTAAATCTGAATATGGGAAAATGTAAGGACATATAACTTTGCTGAATATTATGGATTTGCATTTGTTTTGAGGGTGGTGAATTTGGCCCTATGCATGCAAATACGTGTGCGCTTCGCCAGCAAAGAGAGCAATTGGGAAGCCTCAGCTCATTTTAGTCCTGTTGATTTCAATGATTTTGATTCTTTGTGAAAGAGTAGCAGGACGTGATCTTAAATATTTTAAAATAACAAGAATTGCGTGTTTTCAATTTGTTATTAAGGTGACGTATCAGTATTTTACTCTCACATTAGCAGAGGACTGTTGGTGGCAAATACGATCTGCGGACTTCTGCTTTATACAAGGTCATGAATTAAGCTACGACCCATTTGTAATTTTCTGTGATGAATATTAAATTGGAAATGTTACAGCGTTTCGTTTCTGTAGTTTTGGAACAAAATGTTTTTGCTTTTAGTTTTGAAATGACATTTTATTTTAACCAAACAAGCAAGAAAGACAACAAAAATATTAAATAAACTTAAAGCAAAAGAAACAAAAGAAAAAGTGAAACATTTTGGACCAACCTCAAATACTTTTTTTGTTCATTTTTACCAAAACCATTACAAACATTGTTTTGTTTTGACTTAAACTGATTTTTTTTTTTTTGGTGACCATCAGCATTGCCCTGTCTCTACTTATGGTTGGACTGGTTGTCAGGCTGTTTGCTGAATTTTGGAAATGTGTTGATGACAATTGCGGAAAGGCAGGAGGCAAAGAGCAGGAGCTGTGAGTTCACCTTAATGAAGTCTGCACCTTTTACAGATCTTTCTTTACTCCTCATATGGAAAGGCAAGACACCTCTACGGCTGAGTTAGAAATTCACTTCACGCCCTGAATTGCCACACATGATCTTTTATTTGTCTCTTATCTGGACCCTATCCTGATGTCAGACAACTTCCACCATTAAAGTCAGCGGAGTGTAAACCACCACCAACGATGTTTATGCTGACTATTTCTAAATTTCCTAAATTGGCAGCCCAAGTTAAGTATTTAAATACACATTAAGCGTTCAGAAAGAGTGCTCTCAAAGGTGCGAAGCATCTGCAACTCCATCTTCTGTCAACAGGAGGTTCAGATGTTTAATTTTTTAAAAAACCAAGCCTTTCCCTAAACTAGGAAATACTGGTCCAGATTAGGTAGCCATCAGCAGGTGCTACCATTCAGGAGCTCTATTATTTTCCCAACTTCAATCGCAGATGAATGAAGGGTGGGAGTCCACACGGATGCGGGTAACGTAGCTGTGAGGAGCTAACCACTTTGCCTCTGAAACAAGATCCGGCTTCACAAATGTTGAAGCTCAACAGACAGTGAGGCAGAGTTTGTGCTGGAGAGAGTCGATTGCTATTCTTTCACTGGCACATCGGGATGACTCATAAGGACGCTTCTTTTATTAAATTATTTTGCTCGGTGCTTTAAGACATCACATATCGCTAAGTGCAAAAATACAGTTTGCTGGATGGTGTCACCAGGACCCACGCCTTTCGTAATAAAAACCTAAGAGTTGTACCATTACCGTACATATATCCTGAATGATGGCCAGAGACAAATAATATAAAACGTTCGTCCTATATGTTAGAATTCTCCAACGCGTGTGTCAAACGGCTGATTTCTGCTGCAAACCCCCGGTCTTTGGTGGCTGCGCTGTCCCACCAGGGTGTCCGAGTGATGTGGTACAGCAATCACAGGGTAACAGGCTGCCTCACAGGACGCTGGGGCAAGCAGCCTGCTGCTCTTGCTGGCTGCCAATACCCGTAGGTGTCACCAGCACTTACTGGGAGGGGAGCCAGGAGAGGAAAAACAAATCAAAGAAAATAATAAGAAAATAACTTTCCCCTAGCAATTAGCAGACGAGATTTGCTTCTCAATTCCTTCACCTAAAATGTATTTTTTAACAACTGCCGTTTAAAAAAAAACACAGGAGAAAGAGATCAAAATATTTTAAGAAGCAATTGTAGAGTGGCCATCGCAGAGTACATTTTGCCTTTCCCCTGCTCTGTGATGGGAGGAACCACTGCACAGCCTCTACCCCAACTTCTCCTCACAAACAGTCACACGCTTCATGGGATGTGGTTTTAAAAAGCAGCCTGTGACATTTCAGGCAAAATTTCCAGCCACAATTTTGAAGGTGCTAATAAACGTACAAGACCTTGGTATTACTGGGTTTTTCAATAAATGACTTGAAACAAAAAACAAGTTATTTCTCTAAGTATCAGTAAATGTAGCAACATATTTAAATTGAAGAAGATATGCATTATTTTGAGACATCGGCAGAAAGCCATACCAGTGAATCCCATCGAGGCACCTTCTCTTGATTGCCTGCGGAGCCCATCTTCGTCTCGGAAATCGATGTAAACAAGATCTACTGCTTGAAGGCCAAACGCCTTTGCTGTGACTATTATTTTTTGCCTGGCATATAGAATATCGTGAGTTTCCTTACTGCTTGTTGCACCTACGAAAATAATGAAAACAAGGAAAAGCTGACAGGAGTGTTAAAACCCTTTAATTTTAAGTATTCCCTATGTAAAAAAATGAAAGTTCCAGATTTCATTTAACCAACTTAGAAAACAAAAGAGGGCTTGTAAGGCTATATTTTCCAAATAACACTCTTGCGAGGAAAAAAAAAGCTGCTTTAGCAAAAAAGAAAAAAATCTTTCTTTAAACACCAGCTTATAAAATTCAGATTTTGATTCAGTTCAAATCAGAAGTTGTAAGCCTGAAGTCAGTGGAAGTTTTGGCTGGTAAGGACTGTGGAGATGGGACTAACATGAAGTAATTATTTGATTTTTTTTTACTGTATGTACAGTAGCATTACAGCAAGAGAAGCTTTATACAAATTGATACACTGGGTACAACTAAATGGTTAAAAAATTCACACTGAGAATAGAATTGCACTTTCCTTGGTTGTGATTCTTGTCACAACTGATGTCCGAAGCTGAATATTTAAGCTTTAGCATTTGGATGAAAAATGATGGTAGATGACTTCTGAGAAGAAGCAAAAGTATTCATGACACTTCATGTGCTCACAGGGCACCAGCTAAGCAATGTGCTCATGTAAAGGCTGATGTGAAAAAATAATAATAATAATAATAATATCTTCCCTTTCCTTAGGGTCACTATTTAGACTCAGATTTCCAATTTGTAAGAAACATTTTAGTAAAGCAATGCTAATTTTTACCTTAACATACTTATTTTTAATTTAAGTATTGATAGCTCTGAACTATTATCTTTAAACTGAATCAGATTAATAAGAAGCTAAGATGCCTCTCATAAAAGAAATCTTGAAATACTTTTTATTTTTGAGGAAGACTAATAGTGCTTTCACATGAATACGTGGCTGTATTGACATGGGACATATTTAAAGTAAATTTATGAAAGCAAAATGTAACAGGAGAGTATTTATGCATGATGTCAAAAGCCTGACAGATAATTGTCTGTAAAATCGTGATAAACCACACACCAGAATTTTAGGGCTTTGAATGTAGTTCCTCAAAGCATGTGCATGTTTTTTATGGGTATCATGTTTTTCAATAATTTCAGTGACTCAACAGGTTTTGGGGTTTTTTTCATTAATTTTTGGTACTGCACTGCAAGTAGCACAAGAAAATGTCAGTGCCCTGTAACACATAGAGAGAATGTTTTAATGTCCCAGTGGTGCATTCCGCATTGAAAAAAATTAAGGAGAAAAGTGAAAATGTAAAATGCAGAATCAAGTGTTGTCATTGCTTTAATTATTGCTGTCGGAAAAGCAATGGTCATAAATCACATTGGGCTCCTGCAAAGCAAATGCCATGCGTTAACATTTATAGAAAACAGACAGGTAACAACCTATGCTGGCACGGAAATCCTCTCCTCCAAAGACGACTGCGTCCAAATGAAAGCCAACCTGGGATCCTGTTCTCAGTGCTTCTTCACAGACAGCCTTCAAATGAGAACAGAGTATTAATTGCTACAGAAATGTGGGACACAGAGAGACGACGGAGGATATTACAGCAACTCGGTGTTACCAAAATCCTCCAGCTAAAACTGCTCCTATTAAGCAAAGGCACCGTAGGTGCTCGACTACGCACAGTGCTTTAAAATGACTCAGCAAAAGAGAACACCTTATCTTT